GGCGGAGGGGTCTCGCGGCCTGCCCGCTCCTCCCGGGGCGAACCCCTGGCAGGCGCCTCGGGAGTGTTAGCCTATGGATCCTCTGCAAACCTCAACGAGCACGGGATAAAAACCAAATAGCCTTCCACGTGTATTTCAAACAAACAAAAATTGCATTTAATGTTTAAAACGAGCACTCTTTGCTAAAGCCATGTGAATCCTAGAATCGTTTGTGTTGGAAAAGACCCTTAAGTTCATCAAGTAAACCTAACACTGCTAAGTCCACCGGTATACCATGCCCCTAAGCACTACAGCTACATCTCTTAAATACCTCCAGGGATGGGGACTCGACCACTTCCCTGGGCAGCCTGTTCCAGGGCTTGGCAACTCTTCCTGTGAAAAAATTTTTCCTGGTATCCAGTCTAAAGCTCCCCTGGTGCCACTTGAGGCCATTTCCTCTCATGCTATCGCTTGTTACTTGGGAGAAGAGACCAACACCCACCTCACTACAGCCTCCCTTCAGGCAGTTGTAGAGAGCGATAAGGTCTCTCCCCTCGGCCTCCTTTTCTCCAAGCTAAACAGCCCCAGTTCCCTCAGCCGCTCCTCATAAGACTTGTGCTCCAGACCCCTCACCAGCTTCGTTGCCCTTCTCTGGACATGCTCCAGCCCCTCAATGTCTTTCTCGTAGTGAGGGGCCCAAAACTGAACACAGTATTTGAGGTGCAGCCTCACCTGAGTATAGGGGGTCAGTTACTTCCCTAGTCCTGCTGGCCACACTATCCCTGGTACAAGCCAGGATGCTATTAGGCCTTTTGGCCACCTGGGCACACTGCCGGCTCACATTCTGCTGGCTGTCAACCAACACCCCCAGGTCCTTTCCTGCCTGGCAGTTTTCCAACCACTCTTCCCCAAGCCTGTAGCATTGCATTTGGTTGTTGTGACCCAAGTGCAGGAGCTGAAGGTAGCTTTCTGTGGTAAAGGAGGGGAAAAAAGCCACCAAGCCCCGGCTGACAGGGTGCTGCACACAAGCCTGCACTACTTGAAGTGAATGTGGTGACTCTGCAGCCTCTTGAGGAGCGTCTTGCTCTGAGGACACAGAGACACGGGAACAGCTTTGTGCCTTAGAGCTAGGCTGGTTTGGCCTGCTTTGCTTGAACTAGCCAGGCACCCATGCCATCCTCAGGGAAGTTCACCAGCTCCCTAATAGTAGGCTTGCCTGATGGCTCTTGAGCACACAGGCTGTCATTTGGCAGCACAGATTAAAACATCAATTTGGTTTTGAAGGGTTTTTAAACCCAGTTGTCTTACAGCAAATTGTGACCAAAACTCCCATGCTGCAAAATCATGGGCTGTAGTGTCTCTGCACTGCTACCTGCAGTAAGGGCTGCTTAGTTCTGGGGCATAGCGTGCGGCAAATTGGTAAATTAGCTTAGCATGACTCCGGTGCAACACAAGCAAATAAATCAAGTAACAGGGAGCAGCACTGGCAAGCACATTGCAAAATTCCTTGTGCAGCCAGCACAGGTCTGGCAGGCCCAGTGCTGAGCTAGAGCTAATAAAACCCGGCAAACCCAAGCTGTGCCTGCATCTGTGGTGCAATTAATCCGTGGCACAAACAATCTGCCTGCAGATAACTGTAAGCTGACTACATGTACAAATTTAACAACTCACATTAATTAATACTTACAGCTAGATTGAAAAAAAATATCACTACTATTTGGCAACAAATAGTAAGTATCATTACAACTCAAAAGTGTGAAGTTCATGCATCAATAATTATGAAACAGATAGCAAAGTCATGATATTGTACATGTGCATTTTGATTTTGTAATTTAATTTTGATCTCCCTATTATTATCTTATGATAGACAATTATAATAAATTACGTTACCATAGCACGCAGAAGTCCCACTCACAGGCACTATTGGCTCGAGTGATACACAAATAGGGAAAAAAAGGTAACACCGCAAAGTGTTAACACAGACCTATGAGACAAAGATGATGAAGAAATGATGAGAATGGTCAACAAAGAGATCTTTGCATACTAGCAGCTTAGCTACTGGCAATTTTTATAGGCATCACAGTAAACAAGCCCATTGGTGTTTTGTCAGCCCCAGGTGTTAGGCAAATGTAGAAGTTAGTAGAGGTTTACCTATGTGCTTGACGTTCATAGCTGGTACCTTTTTAAGACCATTTCTAGCCTTTGCTGAAACCTTGCAACTTGCAAAACAGTCATGAGTCCTGGCTGTGTTTCAGGTGCATTAACTGTCAAGGCCTGAAGCGCAGCCCCCTTCTAGGAGCACTGTTGGCTATGTTAGAGTTCAGCCGTCTGAGTCCAAGGTCAGCTGCTCTGCTGATAAGACCTGTTGTGAAGAAAGCTAAACATGAGGGCCTTCCTCTCCTTTCCCTTGGGAACTGCTTTTACGCTGCGGCTGTACTGCTGGACCTCACCTGTGCTACATCGCAGCTGGGCAGCAGCTACATCTACACCTGGTCTCCTATCTCCTCTGATCCTGACTCAAACCTGCTGGCTGGGCTTTCTGGTTTCATCTTGGACCTGCCTCATCATTTCTGACTTGCTGTCCGATCACCAGACTATGTCTGACCCTGATCACTGCCTCTGGCCCTGATCATGAACTAAACATGCTGCTCCGCATCCTGCTGCTTCTTGGTGAGGTCTCTGCTCCCACCTGGCTTGGTGTCGTGCTCCACCCATGGCTCACCTTCCTTTGCAGAGCAGCTGGCCCCCGCTGCCCCCTGACATTGCCACACTAAACCCTTTACTGCACCACCACGCTTAAAAATTAATCACATGGAGCTGTTGACGTGCAGAACAACAGTGCTGACTGTCCACAGAAAAAGAAGCATAGGCCACATGAGGTTGCAGACACACAGTTTCATCTCTCACAGCTCAGCTACCTCTCACAGCCATGCAGCTGCTCCACTCACCATTTTTTCACATTAAATGAATTCCTACACTTCAAGGTTGTGTAAACATTTATAAAGCCAGCATGCCCAGCCACCAGGACAGCTCTGACTTGGGGGAAGTCTTTGCAGAATGCAGAACTAGGAGAAATTTTCTTTCCTTGCATGGGGCTTGTTAGGACTGCTGTGGCACTTCAGCTATTCTTGGCTGCTAGGCTGGCTCTGGAGGCTGTAGAGACCCAAGCATACCAATGTCAACATTCATATGTTGTGATTATTACTAGGCTGCAAGGCCGATACATGAACTAGAATCCTGTTGAGTTAGGTTCAATATACGTTGTGTATAAACAGGATACAGATGCACAAACATCTAAATATAAGGCAGGAGATGACAAACACACACAGATGGAGGAGGACCATTTTGGGTAGTACGATAGACAGTTATCTCAATACACCAGGAAACTTACCATCATTGAATTTCATCACAATAAGAGATAATCATCAATGAGGGTTTGAAGAAGAAAGATGACACACTTCTGTGGATATTTAGGAGACCTAGGATAAACATGAAGGAAGCAATGTCAGCAAATAAGAGGACAATGAAAAAAATAAGATGCTTTTCTGAAAATTCAACAAGTGGCTAAAAAATATTGATGTATTCAGCTGATGAGAGAAAGGACCCAACTACTTGGTACAAAAGATAGATGATGACATGTGGGAAAGGGATAGGCTGTGAAAGCTTGCAGTTAATTAAAGACACTTGCCAATACAAAAAAAAAATGTTCTGAGAGTTAGGATGAAAGAGGAAAACAGAGAGAAGTGGTGTGGATGGATAGGGAGGACCGTATAATAGAGATCGGATGCAGAGAGAATCCTAAAGACTTAGAGTTGGACTTTAATAGGTGATTTATGTGATAATTTTAATTGAACCTGTGTCTGCTTTGAAAAAAGGGATCATCTTACCAGTTTTATACTGACTAGATGCCCAATAAACAAACTGTTGATAATGTATCTTTCACTTCTGACTTAGAAAACCAACTACTATTTGACTATTCCAAAATTACACAGTCTAGCAAGATTAAGCACCAAACAAGTGATTACCATCATCTGATGTGATGGAATGGCTCAAAAAACACCAGATATCTGTTAAAGAATCAAATTGCCTAATTCAGGCATGCATTCACTGGGACGAGAAAACAGCAGTGAAGAATATAGGAAGGGATGGACATCAGAGGCAGGTATGCGTTAACAGAGTGACAGTGGTGCCATTTCCACCTTTCACTGCTTATGCAAGTATTAAATTGGTTTTGTTGCATTGTTTGTCACTGTGGTCATCCATTGCTGCTTCCTCTTCAGTTTACTCCCTTCTGTCCTCAGCCCTACCATTCACTTACCCAAACCACGCAAACTGCACTTCCACACCTCACCCAATCAGTCCCTTCTGTCCCAAGACCTCCCAATAGAGAAAAGTCTTTCCTGCCTAACTTATTTTTCCGAAAACATCTTCTTGGCCTTGCCTGCTTCCTTAACTCAGAGATTCCTCCTCAACTGCCCCAAGCACTTCTAACACCTAACGGTTTGCTGCTGCCACCATGCCAGCGTGGTTCCTTACTCCCCGTGCATCCTCAGTTTCCTCTTACTCTTTTTCTGTTGTTGGTGACTTCTCCAAATTTTCCAAAGGCAATTTCTGAAATCTTGACATGTCTTGTACATGGTACTGTAGGAAACAACACCGTGACTCACTGTCCTATTGCACTGCAAAACTTTAAATGTGTGTCTTTAAGAATATGTAGAGTGTGTCCTAAGGTACTCAAAATATAAGAGCTGGTGTGATTGACTGTCTTAAGAAAGAATAGTTGTTTTGATTGCATTTAGAAATGTCATAAGATGCCAGAGTACATTGTCCTAGAATGTACATTTGTGTGTTTTAGTTAAGTTCACATGGTAGAAGCAATAATCAAAATGCAAAAAGAGAGCACGACTAATTTGATAGATTTTTTTAAAAGTGTTTTATGGTAACTCTAATGGAATTCTGTGATACTTAATGAGCTGCTTTCTTTTTCTTTTTTTTCCTTTGATCTTTACAGCTGTCTCCAAAAGAATATTTTTGAGTACAGAAAGCAATATGCAACAGCGCTAAGATCCTGATGACAATACACCAAGAACAAGAATGGAAGTAAATTTATTCAGCAATTCTACTGTTGTAAACAGTTCATCCATCAACGACAAGCAGTTGGAAGGGCATAGCCTCTGGGAAGTCATTACTATTGCCACTGTAACTGCAATTGTAAGCTTAATAACCATAGTGGGAAATATTCTTGTAATGATATCCTTCAAGGTTAACAGTCAGCTCAAAACTGTCAACAATTATTATTTGCTCAGCCTTGCCTGTGCAGATCTCATAATTGGAATATTTTCCATGAACCTTTATACGTCCTATATACTCATAGGCCATTGGTCTCTTGGAAGCCTTGCCTGTGACCTGTGGCTAGCACTGGACTATGTAGCTAGCAACGCCTCAGTAATGAACCTCCTAGTCATCAGTTTTGACAGATACTTTTCCATCACAAGGCCTTTAACTTACAGGGCCAAACGCACGCCCAAAAGAGCTGGCATCATGATCGGTCTGGCTTGGCTAATTTCCTTTGTATTGTGGGCACCCGTAATCTTGTGCTGGCAGTATTTTGTGGGTGAGCGAACAGTACCACCCGAAGAGTGCCAGATACAGTTTTTATATGAGCCCATTATCACCTTTGGTACTGCAATTGCTGCTTTTTACATTCCAGTGTCAGTGATGACCATTCTGTATTGCCGCATCTATAAAGAGACAGAGAAACGTACTAAGGACCTTGCTGAACTGCAGGGTTCGGAGTCTGTGGCAGAGTTTGAGATGATAAAGCCTCAGAAAGCTCTCCTGAAGTCTTGCTTCAGTTGCAAGCAACAAAACTTAGCCAAAAGAGAGAGATGTCAGGCTTCCTGGTCTTCATCTAGTCGAAGTACGTCAGCTACAGTGAAAGCCTCTCAGGCAGCGAGTACTTGTAACGACTGGGCTAAGGCTGACCAGTTAACCACCTGCAGCAGCTACGCGTCTTCAGAAGAGGAGGATAAACTAACTGCTGATTCAGTTTTCCAAGTTACTTACAAAAGTCCATCTAAAGGTAAGGCAGAAGAGTTTAATGAGAGTATGGATGTTGTTGTCAAAGACCAACCTGAAGAAAATGATTTTGAGAACCAGAAATACTTTTTGTCACCTGCCAAAGGCCACGTACAAAAAAGTAAAAAATGCGTGGCCTATAAATTCCGGTTGGTGGTTAAGGCTGATGGCACCCAAGAAGCCAACAATGGTTGCCGTAAAGTAAAAATAACTCCTTGTTCTGCTGCTCTGTCAAAGGATCCTTCCATCAAAAGCATGGATCCAAATATAAATAACCAAATCACCAAAAGGAAACGGATGGTTCTTATAAAGGAACGCAAAGCAGCACAGACTTTAAGTGCCATTCTGTTGGCTTTTATCATCACATGGACTCCCTACAATATAATGGTTTTGATCTCCACATTCTGCTCTGACTGCATTCCCCTGACACTGTGGCACCTTGGATATTGGCTATGCTATGTGAACAGCACTGTTAACCCCATTTGTTATGCCCTCTGTAACAAAACTTTCAGGAAAACCTTTAAGATGCTGCTCTTCTGCCAGTGGAAAAAGAAAAAAGTTGAAGAGAAACTATACTGGCAGGGCAATACCAGATTGCCATAATTGCTCTTATGTAATTGATAAAGGGGAAAATAGATATTGACGTAACCTAGTAAATTGACTGTAATTCTGTCTTTTCAAAGCTTTTGCTTTCTATGTCTAGCGGTTAAAAAAATTCTGCAGAAAAGTAAAATTTTGCATTAAAGTAGTGTGCTTGGGGTAAAGAAATCAGTGGCTGCTGTGAGCAACATGGTGGTTTTGATTATGCAGTAGGTCTGCATTAAAGTTACTATGTTTGGGTTCTTCTGTCCTTTATTTCAGCCTGAGAATATGTAGGGTAAATTACAAACTACTAGAAATTAGAGTGGGATGGTCATCCAGTCATCAGGCCAGGTCATCCAGTCTAATCTCCCTGTAGTACAGAACTGTTTCTTCCTATAGTTCCTCTCTAGTGTATCATCTATTTAGTTTTCAATGTCCCAAGCAATGGAGCTCGTACTAACTTCTGTTTTGAGACTTTTCCACCTGCTGTTGGAATGAAACAAGGACTACTTAAAAGGCGAAATGCTGTCATCCCCAATACTAAACAGTTAGGGAGATTCATAGTACTCCAGATGAACACACCTATAGGAGAATGTAATACTGAGAAAATTTCCACTTTAAGGATGACTTTTGTGGAGATGTAGGAAGGGCTTATAGTGGAGGAAACAGATAATGTATTTTTTGTATGAAGAAGCCAGTCCCCATCTCAGTTCCATCATACAAGTCACTGTAAAAAATGGTGATGGTTGGCAGATACCTCCAAATTTCTCCATTTCCCAATGCCTATGAAGGAAATTTTAAAATTTTATGCAAAAGTGACAATGGTACAAATCAGAACTGACAGTAAAGCACAGGCTATCTACTTATACAAAACAAGTCTTTTCTGCAATCTCCTTCATTGCGCTTCCACTTGACCCAAAAGTTTCCGTTACTGATGGAATAATGCAGAACAAGAGAAAAATATGTATTGATGCCCTGCACATTTAACTATATACTATGAATTTATTATAAATGTGACAGAATTGGCATGTCTGAAAGAATGAAGATTTTCTAAGTAACTTTTGAATATTTCTATAAAACTATTAAGGACACTTTGCAATTTCATAGCACTTTTTAAATAGCATTACAAATACTAGTCAACATCAGGTGTTTGGAAACCTAAGTTATCTCCACTCACCATCTTTTGGTCCAGCAGAACCATATCTGCTACAGTACTGGGAGCTGGAGTCAACCCCTCTGATGGCTGTGGCTTCTGGGACTGGTCTGTACTGTCTGGGGTACAATGAGCTGAGACTCTGGCCACTAGTTGAGGTTTGCTGAGGCTTTGGGTTTGTGGTGAGGACTCTTCCATGGCAGGGTTGAATTGCACGTGCCTGTCTGATGTCTGTGTTAGATTAGCAAGAGTTCTGCAGCATTGACCAAGTGAGTGCATAAGCAAGGAGCTGCCTTCAGCAGAAGGCCATTGGAATGGAGCTGGTGACCTGGCTTCTTGTGGTGGCAACAAACATGAAGCCTCAGAAAAGGCCACAGGAAAACAAAGTTAATGGTGAGAGGAGTCATAAGGAATGAAGTCCTAAAGTAAACAAATTATGAATAAATGAGAAAGATCTCCAAAGTTCAGATTCATTTCTAGCCTTTCTATCAAAATTTGGGGTGAGATGCTCTGGAATACTGGTTTGGGCCAATCTTCATATTATATCTGCTATACGCTTTAGCGGGACATTGCAGTGGTGGCATGACCCAGTTGCACATTTCAGGGATTGTATGAGTCATCCTGAATGTACCATTGCTCTCAGTGAAATTGTTCGTGTCATTTATTAAATTATCATACCATCAAAATGCTTCCCTACAGATAAATAATTCCTCCATGTCAACAACTATGGTACAAGTAATTAATATTTTTTATCCCCAGTCTCCAGAGGGGAAAATTGTGTCAGTGAAAGATTAGCAGTGTAGTAATGTAAAAATATGGTTTCTAAATTCACATGATTGATTTTGTAACATGCCATACTGTGCCTATTATTTTTTGTGAATTAGTATATGATTGCATATTAAAGGAAAGCATAGGTCTTTATAAAGAACCTTTCATCAACTTTCCTCTGTCACCAGCCAGAGCTTTTCCTGTGTACAGTAACTACGTGCAGGTTGGCTATTATAGTGGGTTTATTTTATGTTACATTGGATCAGACATTCGGTAAACTGTGTTTGATTTTTAGCAAATGAATGTGTCCCTCTGTGGCACAAGCTGTAGTTAAAGGCAAAATTTATGAGGTAGTAACAGTTCCTGCTAGCTGCAGTGTTGTTGCTAGAGTAAAGCATTGGCTTCTACTGAAATTAAATGGGATATTTTTTGTTGGTTTTGGCTTCTGTTGAACAAGAGTGTTCTGTAAATGTTCATGGACTCTGTGCTCAGTAAATGTATTAGTATACACAATGTTGGTTCAATGTAGTTGTGAAATGTGTGCTCAAACTATGCTGCTAGCACTTCACCATGTGAGACATTACATGACTAGGCATGGGTACATTGTAAATACCTAGAATTATATAAAGAGCTGTGTGTTGCTTTATTGTTATGTAGGATGTTTATTCTTAAAAAAAAATCAAAACCACAAAAAACCACCCCCGTGATCCTCATCAGAGTATCAGTTAGTACTTAATTATATTTTGTTTCCAAATTATATTTTGTGCCTTTAAAAAGTGTTGTGGGACTTGTACAATGTAGAACAATTGTGTTATCTGTATTTCTGTCCTTTTAATGAATCTTTTACTGATTCTATAATTGATTATGGTCATGGACTAGTGAAAAGGTCTTTTTCTGTAAAATCACATTTTATTTATACACAATTACACACACATACATACATATATAGATAGATATGTATGTATGTATTATCAATATAGGTGCAAAAATACACATCCCTAACTTAAGCTTTTCAGAGACCCAGCACACTTTAATATTCTTGAATATTGAATTTTCCTACAAATGGGGGGTATCATTCTTGTCTGTCTCTTTTCATACATACCAGCCTCCCTATACATTCCAGATCCCCATAAATTATCAAGTAACATTCATTTTCTGTAAATATAATTTATGTTTGTAGATAAATACTTGGAAGAGTTCCCAGAATTTTTAAATGGGTATAGAACACATAGTTATAGTTGTGTGCTTTCTGTGACTACTTAGCACAGAGGGAAGAGCTTTGGAAAGGACGGAAAGTCAAAATAGAACATAAATGCAGGGGTTTCCTTTATAGAAAAATCCTGTTGAATTGAGAAAGGATGAAATCAAAAGGGTTATAGAGAAAATACTATAAGAACCTGTAAAATATGATGGAGCATTATATAATTCAATTGCTTATCCTTTTCAACTATGCATGTCAATTAGTAACTGCTATTAACGGTTTAAAGTTATTTTTATAGGTGGATTTTTGTTCCTCATCTCTGTTGTACTCATAATGATACCTGCACTGGGATATATGGACTTGAGGAGTCTAGATCCAGAGCCAGTGATGCACTTCAAGGCAAAGTCCTTAATTGTACTTCCTTATCACCCTTTAGATATTGTTCCAGTTTTAGAGCTGAGTCTCATGAAAAGTCCCCATCTTTAATTTAATTATTCTGATAATTTTATCTTCCACATGGGACTTTTCTCAGAAATCTGTGACATTGCCCCCTTGTCATATTTGTTAGAGGACCTGAACATCTCAAACTAATTTAACTGATAAATCTTAATGCAAATGTAGCTAAGGATACTCACATACCTGAAGGAATAAAAATGTCACTGGGATGTGGTAAGTATGTTAAATCTAAATGAGAAGTCATTACAACAATTAAAGAATCCCATATCAATTTGGAAGATGCTGCTTTCCCATAGAACACAGGTGTTATGAAACTGGATACCCAGATTGAAATGGTATTGAATACCTGTGGACTTTTTTCAGAGTCTGGATTTTGAATAGAATTTTGTAAGATGCTTCTTTACTTCTGGTAGGAAACACAGTTTCCAAATCACCCCTTCATAGTTTGGGATTCTTCAAACGGAAGGAGAATTTTTGGATGCTTCTTTTTTAAAGTTCCTCTGTAATTTTTAGGGGAAAAACTTTACTTCTGCCTTCTCTGAATTCTTTGCTCTAGGAAAACAAACAGAATGGTGTAACTTTCCTCTGAAATTAATTTTCTTTGCTTTCTATAGAGAGAGATATAATATGAAGGAATAACTGGGATATAGTGAGAAGCAAATATCCATTTCCTCAGTCGAACATAACCGTCAAGCTGGAGTTACCATTTGCTGTGACCTGTACATCTAGGTGCCCCTCTGTTGGAAAGGACTCCTCCCAAGAAACTCCATACTCCTTACTCCTTTTTTATATTATGGAAGGTGGGGTTTGTTGGATTTATTTATTTATTTAAATCAGCACCCCACATTTGCTGCTTTTATGAGCTGCAGACCATTACAGGTGAGAACTTTCCCCTGAAAGACTCCCCTGCAGTGTTTGCCTTGGGGACTCCAAGGGCCCTATCAGCTCCTGAAATGCTCCCGCAGCCACTGGGTAGTCAGTGGCTTCTCCATTTTTAAATGCCCTTCCAAACCCGAACTCCAAAAATGGATACTCTGTCTTTTCACTTAATTACTTGGCTTTCCTTCTACCAAATCAGAAAGAGGCCATTTATTTCTTACGTGGTCATCCCAAATCTCCACTGCTGCCTTCTGTACCCACTAAGAAGTTTTCTTCCACGTACAATTGACAGCTGGGTGTCATAAAACCTGAAACTTTGATCATTCAAATAAACTTTTTTTTCTTTTAATTAATAGTTACCCCTTATCTATATATAGTCTTAAAAAAAAAGAAAAATTGATAGCATTGTGTTGTAAAATTAGATATAATCTATGATTATTAGTGGTTTCAGAAAGGGATGGTGTTGGAATTGTTTTTTCCATCTTGGTAAATGTATTTCTTCAGGTGTAATAGGCACTGCTGGGCTATGTATAAGATTAGGAACTGGAGTTTTCATGACACTCAGTAAAACCCTTGCCTTTTACTCAATACTTACGCCATTAGCCACTAAATGCTATTAGTTTCTTCATGTATCTGCTGATATATCAAACAAGTCAGCCTTCCTCAAACAACCAGGTATTTAAGATCCTTGAAAAGTTTTCTTCTCAACAAGTACTTCTCCGAACCCCAGTCGCTAATGGCTCCTGTTTGTGTAGACCTCTGAAGTTTGGGGATTTTTACTGAATTCCTGGATTACAATGCCAAGCTATAAACTGGAATATCTTTTACTCCTTACATGAGGCAGTCATCTAGACATAGTGGAGGTCAGACAGTTGTTTTTGCTGTATGACATATGTAAGGCCTCCTTAGATGTGCAATTCATCAGGTAAGCTATAGGAGGAAGAGTGGAGAGAGGATATGGTGGAGGTTACCAACTGTGGAGTGTGGCTGGATTCAGCTCTGTACCCCAGCACTCTGCCTGCGTCCTGATGCCTTCTGAAATGCAGAAGACATGAGAGTGACTAAAGGACTCTTTGTTTTGTTAAGTATAGGAGAAAAAAATGAGCCCGGGCAGGTAATGTTGCTAATTTATTGATGTTCAGTAGTCAATGCTTGGTCCTAAAATCACTTTGTCATACTTTTAAATCTATGGTTAGCACATAAAAAAACATAATGTGGAAGTCTGGAAATCTATTGTTTAGGTTATACACATGAAAATCAGAAACAAAAGCAAGCACTTTCTCATATGAAAGTTGAATGATTTTTAAAGACAAATAATAATAAATTAGTGGTTTTGCTGGAAAGAAGCCATCAGGCTCTCTTATTTTGTCAGTTGATACTTTCTGAGGAAGAATTTTTCCTTCTGCTAAATTCTGAGTTGATCAGCATGATATTGTATGTGAGAATGTGCTTAATTTTCCTGCAGTTGAGAAAATGGTATGGGCAGAAATACAAAGTAACGAAGAGGTGGAGAAACGTATTTTTCTGCTATTGTTAGGAGATTGAAGGTTTAAAGTAGACGATGCCTCCCATTCAGGGGTGCTTGGAGCTGGAAGTCAGCCATATACCTATTGCTCTAGACCTTGTCATGCTTCTTTATTTTGGAAAGATATTTATTTGACCAAATAATTTTTTCCCATCAGATATTCTTGGAAGGAGCCACCTCCTTTCTTCAGGTCTGTGCAGGAGGCAGTATAGTTGGGAAAGGATAAGAAAGAGAGAGGATAGGAGAAATGTGATAGGAAAAAGAAAAGAGGAGTAGACAGAATAGGAACCCCCATGTTTCAGACTGTGGTGTTGCTGATTCAGTTGATGGCCAGCTGCTCTCTGCATCATTCTGGGTATCTGGTGATTAAGGTTCAGTGATGGAGAAAAAAATCTGTTCAGTTAAGACAGCCTTTTGCTAAGGAATTATGAAGTAGAATTTAGTCCACTTTTTAAGGTTCTATGTCCTTCTCTTTAAGAGATCTAGAAAGAAGTGCTGGTGGGTGTGTTGGAAAATTCTTACTTATTTTCATCCACTACTTAATCCCAAATCCAGCTCTGGTTTCCGTCCATACTTTGTTTAGAAGTATGGAACGTACCTCAGTCCCTGAGTTCCATTAAATGTCTTTGTTTGAACTGGATTAATCTTTCTATGTTGTTTTTGTTTAAAGACTTGTTGTTATGAGTTATTATTACATTTTAATCTAGTTCCCATACTGGAATTCAGTGTCAGAATAGGTTTGTAGGGCTCCAGTTAATACTTGAGAGTGCCTCTGAAACTGGGCAGCTGGATTTGGGCTGCTGGTGCCAGAGTCATTCATACAGCTTATTTGCACAGTCCTTTCCTCCAAAACCCTCCGAAACAGGCCAACCGTGGACCGCAGAGCAGGTTACTTGCCTTCGAGGATCAGATGCAGCCTGCTGGCTTTCAGGTGTGCACTTCCATGTCAACATTATTCAAAACACATTTTTGGAAGGTGTGTGAGAATCTGGCTATATGGCCGGGAATTCAAATAAAAGCTGTGAGAGACTGGCAGCACTCATGTGATGTTCCGGTATCCTCATTACAACTTTGCAGGCATCCTGATCGAGTTACAGCAGAACCCACATTAAATTGACTCAGTGACATAAACTCAATTCGGCTACTATCCATTTCTTCCCCTATCATACTTCTGCCTTCAAACACAGTTTCAGGGGGGAAAAAAAATCAGATGCTGCAAAATAGACATGTATGCTATATTGGCCTCACCCACGTAACGTATCTCTTTCTTAAAATGTTGCGGTGCATCATAAAAAATAATTGCTTCTTGGCTTTTCCACTTCTCAATTAGTTTCTCTTCTTAAGTAATCCTGGCAGTCTTGGTCTTCTCAAAACACAACACAATTTATTTTCTGCGAAGTAATTTTCATGGAAATTATGAGATTCCATTTTTTAAATTAAAAAGCAAGAGTCTGCCAGTATCTGTTGTTGAGTTTCTGTAATTGAAATATCAGAGAAAACACATAAGGTATTCTAATTATTATCACAGTGGTATTAAAAAAGAGAAAGCTGAAGCACATCATGGAACAGGGGGAAGCAACAGTCGAAACATGGTAAACAAAGTGGAGTAATATTCAGAAACCAATGGAGCAATAAGTGAACAGTAGCAAAATCAATTTGATCTTTTAAAAAACGTGTTCACTGAGTTTCTTGGGGAAAAATTCAGAGAAGTTTTAAGCTTTGGATTAGTAGCTTTAAATGGGAAAGCTGATGATCCCATTAGCTCTGGGTGCTCTAAAAAGAAGGAAGAAAAGAAAAGCCTATGCTAAATATTTCATTGTGTATGGGATCATTAAAAAGTAGAGATAAAAAGAAGAGTCAAGGAAGGGGAAAAGAAGCTATGGGAGATGAGGCTAATTCCAATTTTATATAGTAAAATATCTTTCACTAAAGGTAAAAAGGAAAGGCCTGATGCTGCCCTGTAGTACACCATAGTCTCCAATATGCATTTTGTAAATGTAGGTACTTCACTGGAAATTTCCTTCCCTCATGGTATGTGAAGCTGTGCAATTATAGGAGATCAACAGTGGACATTCATACTGGAGGAAAACCTTCTGAAATGCATGTATATTCATGTGTATATTATACAAGACATCATATCCTGGATTTCATACCTGACTCCTCTTAGGGCTAAAATATTATAAAATTAATTATTTAAATCTGCTGGTAGAGGCCTCAGTTTCTGACAGTGACTTCTCATTTGTGTGGTTGGTAGATGTCTATGTCCTGGTGCAGTCCTGGAAGATACGCCGTCGTAAAGCCCTTGCAGAGGCCCAAATTAAATTATCAGTCATGATTATTAGTGTGATTATTCAGTCAGTGTGAGTTCACTCCAGGTACTGGACAAAGAATCCTTGTTCCTTTCAAAGTACACATGGCTTATCTACAGTTCAACTTTCGGACATGGACAGGACTTTGTTGGATATGGCAGGCTGTGGTCAATGGGTTTGATCATCATCCATGCAAACTTGCACATGCGTTGCTTGTTGCAGTCCTTTTGCCAGTATATCACATTCCTGCGGTTTAGATTTGCTCCAGCACATGCGTCATACCACCAGCCTCCCCCGGGAATGCCATTGTGCTCCAGTTTAGCACAATTCTGAAAGTAATTGTCATTGTCCCTGTCCTTGGTGGTGAACTTCTGGTTGTCATGGAGATAAGCTTCTGTGTCCAGGGTCAGAGCATCAGTGGCATTGCCTTTGTATAGACCAACCCTGATTCGGTATTGAGACTCTTCATCTTCAATAAGGAATGGTTCATACTGTCCCCATTTGATTTCAGCGTTTAGGTTGACAAGTTTAACTCCAAGTATATATTGTACAGAGCTGCTCGTTAACTGATGCATATATTCATTTCCTAACCAGTGGTTGTCATGAATGGAGCCAAATCCGTATTTATAATCCTGCCAGGTCCTATCAAAGTCGACAGTACTATTGGCTGTAATGTGCTGGATTACTGTCCAGCCACCATCCTGCATGTTACAAGAGACAACAATAGGGTCCTCCTTTGGCTGGATGATGTAAAGACCATCTCTGGAATTTCCTTTGGAGCGCTGAAAAATCTCAAAACAGTCCCTTGGATAGTCTGAGTAGGGAAAAAAAAAGTTTTAAAGTAAATTTCTGTTCAAATAGTATATTTTAGATATTGCACTCCATCCTGACTCCATATGGACTCCCAACTTGCATTAAATTCCAGTAAGTATGCCATGTTTTCATTGATAAAAGGGAGATATTAAAGCATCTTTCTTTCTAATACAAAACTTATAAACAGCTGAGGATTTTCTTAGGAACAGTTCTTGTCACTCAAACTCCAGGCTAGATCTTACCACTGATTTGCAGGTAGAACTACAGTGCTGTGCAGTGCTGAACACTAATATCAGGAAAATAGTGCTTTTCCACTTTATTGCTTATCCAGTAGACTCAGAGTGGGATAAATCAGCATATAAGGCTTGGGATGACCCTCTCTATTGGGCTGAAATATATATACTGTGTTTTTTAAATGTAACTTGCTTATAAGGTAACTTCTTGCTATAGTATAGTATGAAGCATCTCTGAGACTAAGGTACAATGCTCTGCTTTGTAGAGAAGGATGTTATTCAGTGTCTGTTCCATTACTCAGAAATATGTTTATGAATTAAAATCACTCACTTCTCCATAGAGTTGAAAAGCGTGTCATTATGTCATTATACTATGGAATATTTGTAATTTATATTTAATAAAAACTTGATAATTTTAATATCTCTATGAGAAAAATTCCTACAGACCACCTGTAATGTAAAATGACAGTTCTTCCAACCTATGAAATCCTATGTTCTGTCCTGACAATGCCTGATAGGAATATTAGATACTCTGTTTAGAACTTAATTTTTTCTTCTGGGAAACTGGGATAATTCAGGAAAAGTATGGCAAGATGTCTTAACTTTTTTTTCCAAAATTTGACAAAACACAATCAAGGAAAAATATTTCCAAAGCTAAAAATCTAAAATAAAAGTTCAGAAAAAAGATCTTCTCTGCCCAAATAACTGACCAGAGGGCCCCTGCTGATCCTTTTACTGAACACATTGTTTTTCTTTCCCTGAACGGAAGAACAGAATCTCAAAAGAGTCAATCTCATTGTATGGTCTCATGACCAACAGGTCAAAAGTACACTGAACAGTTTGGTCAGTGTACAAAAAAAAACCCCAAAACGCCCCCAACTTTCTGGAAAGAAAAAGGGACCATGAGTGACTATTTTATCTACCTCTGGTCCTGTAGGGAATTATATTATGCAGTCTTATTCATAGAATTATTAAATTCCTTCTCTTCCAACTGGAAAGCATTGTACACGTCAATAACTGTCAATACTCTGTTAGAAATACTCATCTGGTTCCCAGTCTAATTTTATTAACATCCACTGTCTGTTTCTTTCTTGTGTCATGTTGTCCTCTAGTTAAATAGTGCTTCTTCCTGGGTGATAAGCTGCGATGTACCATGAGGACAACTATAGATTTAATCAGCCTTTGTTTTGATAGGGTAAATTCTGTTAGGATAAATAAGTTCTTTAAGTGTAACATAAATCTCCTCTTCCTTAATTGTTTTAGTAGCTTTTCTGCACCTCTCCGCTGCAAATTAATCTCCTAGAACTTGGGTAAAATTTGCACACGGTATTGCAAATGGCCTTATGTAGTGCCACTGATTCTTCCCAAGTCTTATTAAAAACATCTCTGTTGATATATTCTAGGATTGCATCTGTATTGCTTAGTTTACTTTAATCTAGAGTTTGGTCTTTGGATCTTCGTAACTGGTAAGGTCCTCACTTCGGGGTAAAACCTAGAATTTTGTGCTTTGTTTTTCATCCCAATGGTATTACTTAAGTACATCTGATTTTTTTTTTCTGTGTAATATTCTGATTCTTTGTATTGGCATTTCTCTACTCATGTTATCATTAAATTTTATCAGCATATTCCTATTTTTGCATCAGTATACTTAATAAGAAAACTGAAAAGATCACTTATAAGCAAATACCTCCAGTCTCCCCTGGACTTTATGGCCTACTTTTCTACCCAAGTCGTTGTAATTTTCTTTTCAATCTCTACTGAAATGATAATGTAACCCTACCTTCTCTGATTTAATATTGTATGAAGCATTGTATCGTATGCTTTGCAGAAGTCCAGATGGACTAAAACTGTTAAATGGTACTATTCATAGTATTGGTATTGTGTTAAATACAGTCTTTTATATTTGATATTCAGAAGTTTATTGGCATTTCTAAGCCATTCGGGACAGATTTACAGGAGTATATAGGCTTTCCAAGGTCTTACTTTTATGCCTTTCATTGCCTAATAGAATCTACAGCCATTAATAGAATACTTTAAATCTTAATATTATCTGCATGCCATTATTAAATATCCTGAAAGAGCATAACTGTCTACATGACTGTAACCCCAGATGTTGGAACATTTGTCTGGTAGACATAGCCTGACTCCAAACCTGATCCCATGACTTTATAGAATGATTATTTAAGTGATTTATATAGGGATGTCCAAGTCAGCAATATATACGGTGACACTTGTATTTTCCCTTCTCAGTGAAAATTATTAATGTGAAATACAACAACTTCTATAGACAGATAATGAGAAAATCCTTTAGGCTGATTTTTACAGGATTCACTTGGAAAGTGAATTTTATAAACCCTGAAGTGTCATCAGTCAGAAGAAGAAAATGAATCAATCCTACTATTCTTTTTGTGTACATTTTATGTGGGATCTACTCTGGTAAATATATTAGAAAACCTACCAAGTTGGACCTTGCAAGCTAGGTAGGCAGAGGGATGCCTCAGTTATAGGTGCCAATGGGATTTAGGTACTGAGGTGTCAGATGTAATCTCGATATGATTGTCCTAAGAATAAGTCTTCAAATGCCACAAAATATTTTTTTATAAAAGCCCTGTTAGCTTCTCTTGAATTAGATAGCAGCTGAGCAAGGATTTTAAAGATTCTTGAATTCGGGGCAGGACATGTTCATATTGCAAGCAGGTTTTGCAGAGCTAACTTTCAAATGCGTTGACTAAAAATGTTACAGCAAAGCGATAAAGTAGAACACAGCATGCGCCCAAATGACTCACTCACTGTCTTCATGAGTACCTTTTTCATTGGTGTTAACCAGTCTCTCGTAGGCTCTTTGGGGGAGAAGGTGGGCATTAGCCAAGACCACTGCCTCTTTGGTGCTCACTGACACAGTGCAGTGAGAGAGCAAGAACAGAATAAATCCCGCTGAGCTCATCCACAGCATCTTCCTTCTGAGTCAGCCCTCCTGCAGCAATACAGAACTGTAACACAGACTGGAATTGAAAATGGAAAGATTTATGACTTTTAGTGTGGCAGTCCTGAAGGAGAAAGGTATTGAAATACCTAGCTTCAGTATAGTGAGCCTCTGCCAAAACTGTCTTCTCCCATCCTTCAAGGACCTCTGCTTTTCCTGATGTCTCACACCATATTCCTGACCGGTCATTCCTCTGAGATGGAGCACTGTGCTGTGACACTTAGAATGTCTCTCACCTCTGTCACCTTGTGCCATGCTGGGCAATGAAACCTACTGTAATTTTGTGTGTGACAAAATGTTATAGAGAGTAATGTAATGACAGAAGAAAAGCATGTCTTATATTTATCAGAATTAAATTTTGCTTATTCCCTGAGTCCAAACTGTAGTGAAATAGAGGCACCAGTTGTCAAACTGGCAGAAACAGTAATGCTGGCTCTGCTGACTGTCTGTAGTTCAAACAGTACTCAAAGACATGGCTTTCCAAGTGCTGGGAATATTTCCATGCACTAGAGAACTCATTTCAGCACATCCAGACTACACTTTTTATGAATTTCCATCTACAGCTTTAAATAAATCAGATTTTAAAAAAAGTTCAATAAACAAAGCAAAAAGAACTTTTCTTCAGCCTCTTCAAAACCCACAAGGGTTCAATATATTGAATCAAAACAGTTTTGAGCCTCACTTTCTCCTCCTTTTGGGGTTACACATCTAGTAACCCTCCATCCAACATAGCAAGGCAGCTTAGGCTATTACTGGACTAAATCCCGGGGTCCTCACATAGGCAGATCCCAGCTTGACTGAAGAAGACCTTCTATATCAACGACAGCTTAGAGTGAATCAGGGTAGCAAATGTTTCCCATACTCTCAAAGGACACATTTACTTAGACTCCAGCCAAACTCTTTTAATTTTTCTTTTTTTTAAAGGACGGAGCTCCCCACGCTGCCTTTGATGAAGGCAGAAAATAGATCCAGCAAGCAGCTCTTTGGTCACAGTTTATTTCCCACCAGTGTCAGCACAGAGTCTGCAGAGGCCAGTGCCCTTCTCCACAGCGTTTGTGCTGGTTTTGGCTGGAGTAGAGTTAATTTTCTTCATAGTAGTTAGCATGGGGCTGTATTTTGGATCAGTGCTGAAAGCAGTGCGGGTAACACAGGGATGCTTTCGTTACTGCTGAGCAGTGCATACACAGAGTCAGGCCCTTTGCTGCCTCTCACCCCACCCCACCAGCGAGGAGGCTGGGGGGGCACAAGGAGTTGGGAGGGGACCCAGCCGGGCCAGCTGACTCCAGCTGACCCCAGGGATATCCCAGACCATGGGACACCATGCTCAGCACAGAAAACTGCGGTAAGGAGGAGGAACCAGGGGACATTTGGAGCAATGGCGTTTGTCTTCCCAAGTCACCGTTACGTGTGATGGAGCCCTGCTTTCCTGGGATGGCTGAGCACCTGCCTGCCCATGGGAAGTAGGGAACGAATTCCTTGCTTTGCTTTGCTTGCACACACAGCTTTTGTTTTACCTTTTAACCTGTCTTTATCTCAGCCCATGAGCTTTCTCACTTTTACCCTTCCAATCCTCTTCCCCCCCATCCCACCAGGGGAGAGTGAGCGAGCAGCCGTGTGGGGCTCAGTTGCCAGCTGGGGTTAAACCACGGACAGTGGTTTATGTTGCAACAGAGCTACATTCCTTATAAATCTAGTGACTTAGTAGCAGATTCAGCAAACTGTTTTCCAGTGTTTTAAAACACATCCAAGATAAATCATTGTAATAATGTTCAGGTTTGAAAGTTAATTTTTATACCTACCATACAGAAAACTAGCAAAACAGAATTTTCTACTCTTCCTAAAACTATCCAGTAATAATTCTGATTTACTATTAACATACCTTTTACTATTTTATGCAAAGCTAGTCATTTGACATTGGGTTTGTAATAAACTGGAAAATTACACTCCATGAAATTTAGCACAGGGTTTCCCTTAAAGCATTTAAGTTCTGCTGTGCCTGCATTTCCCACTGCCATGTATCCTTTCCCTTGAAAGCTTTTATCACTGTTGCTGTTATTAATTACAATATTATAAATTACTTAAAATCAAAACCTAACCCACAAGGATCACTAAACTTCAGGAAATCTGTACTTGGATCTGGAGTTACTTTTTTAGCTGTTTTGTTTTTCTTTTAAGCATTTTTGAGTGAGTCAGTCTTTTTTCTTCCCTCATATTTACACATCAAAATTATTTACAGATCTATGTAATTCCAGAATAGAACTTGATATTATAAATTATTAAGAAAGCAACTGAAGAAAACAGCACTAGGCAGACACCTTACCTCTTTCAGGTGGAGCCTGGCAAAGAAAAGCACGCACAAATGAATGAGCTCCTTCTCTACAGTTGTACTTTGCCTGCTACTTAAGTCCAGGTGAATAAATCAGCTCCAACACGCTATCTCAAATGCAGCAAAATTGCATCTTCATTATTTCACACCGTCTGCTTACTCCATGTGCTTACTCCGGTAGACTTTGCTCCGACATATTACACTTGCAAGTAATTATGTATGAATTATAAAGTACAAAGTTCTTCCAAACATAGTAAAACACAACATAGTAACTAAATTAAATTTCCTTGATTAATAAATCTACGCAGTGATAGAGAACCACAAAGAGGTTTTAGTTCAGAAAATTACCTATGTTGCTTAAATACACATGGGCAGATGCTCAAATTTACTATGTCATTTTGCAAAGGTGAATTAACTAGATGCTATACTTCTAGTCACATTTAAAATCGTATAGAGACAAATTGATTTTTAAGTATTAGGAACAAACCAACCATACACCTTGTTGTTACTTCAGGTTTTAACATGAATGAATCAAGAGCTATAAAAATGGAAAAAACAAAAGCAGAACAGCCTGGTCAACAAGTTTCTATTTTAGTTTATTTGGATTAACAAGAGTTAATTAACATTAATTCAGGTCAAAACTGTAATGAATTAGATGAACTAATTGTTGCTATATATCTGAAAGTTGTACTGTCTACCTGCATGGCCTTTAGACAATGTCCAATCTAGCATTTACCCTTTTCAAGATGAGCCAACACTGTATGCTCCTTCATCCAGCCTGCAACCCACTTTGATCAGATTCCATCCCTGAAACAAGCCACAGTTAAAACTGGTGGAGCATATAAGTCCCGTGCAAGCTCTACTTGAGGATTTGTACTATGCATAATTTCTGTTCTTCAGTAATTCATCCTCAGTGAAAGCACGTGTGAGGATTTGTATATCATGCACAATTAAATAAATACACGTAACGAATGTTTTAGGGTAATTTGCTTCTAACATTTAAAACTCAGTGATATTTCTCTTCATATTTAAAGCACAAGCAAAGCTTTATTATACACGAGGATGGCCACAGGGAGTCAGAGAAGTATCTTTTCCCTGACATGGGTCAGTAGCAGAGCTACAGGGGAAAGTTTAAGAACACATTCTCTCTGCTTTTAGCATTATGTAGCTCAAGGGATTTCTGCTATCTGTATGTTTGACATATCTAATTTCTGGTTAGTACCAAGCTTTATAAACCTTTGCTAAGGCATGAAAGTACTGTATTGTAGCTTATGAAATAATAAAAGTGCTTTGAACAGGCACAGACCTTGCTGAAATTGTTCTGCTAAGAAAGGGCAGGAGAAGGTACCTTTCCACTCTATCCATATTGATACACTCTAGAAAACACCATTGACTTCAGTGGCATTTATTGATAGGTCTCATGTCACCCAGATATAAATTGGGGTACATCTTCGGTTTGTGCATTCGATTCTTACATTTTCCATCACTGTTTATCTCCTCCCCCGTCTTTCCATTTTTCTTTACTGTCCTGCTGTTTGCTTCTCTCTGTTGATTTCCAAACTTTCATCTGAGCTGGCAGAGCAGAAGTGAAGTGGGAAGTGTTTAATTAGAAGAGAGAAGAAAGGGCAGCCGCATTCATTCACTCATGCTCAGAAAGGCATCTATTTCTGTAGATGAAAACTTTGAAAAACAATCAAACCCAATGAAAATCATTACATAGCTCTCTCTGCTCTTGAACAAGTATTTTGAGAATAATTTTTCAGCCCTGAGAACTGTATAATGATATTAAGGTAGGACTGCTTTACATTGGTATAGTATGGTCGTATACAGATTTCAAAATAATGCATTATTATAATGACTTATTGTTAGCCATGTTAATTAAGATAATTAGTTTATCAGCCCAATGACCACATATTCTTTCTCCACAATATGCTGAAGTTTTAATTATGCCTCTGATTCTGCTTAGCTTTAACTGGGAAGCATTCATTTAAATTTTTCCAATGCAGCCTCTCCTATGTGGAAAGTCTCTTTATAGGATCTCTCTCTTTAACAACTCACGGCACACATTTGCAAAGGAAGAATTTGACTGAGATTTGTCAACTTACTACTTCATCAGTCTCTGAAGTTAGTTGCAAAGAGAACCTGGCTACTATATTACAGCTAATCAGACTCTGTATAAATGTTATCCAAAATATCCATCTCTAACCCATATAATGAAGCCATCAGTTCTAGCAAGGGCAAAGTAGTGTTAATTTAATGTTAATAGTCTGGATAGTGATGCCAATAAGTGCCCATAAATATTATAGAATCATAGAACCATAGAATCATTTAGGTTGGAAAAGACCTTTAAGATCATCAGGTCCAACCACAAACCTGACACTGCCAAGTCCACCACTAAGCACCATGTCTACACCTCTTCTAAATACCTGCAGGGATGGTGACCCCACCACTACCCTGGGCAGCCTGTTCCAGTGCTTGGCAACCCTTTCAGTGAAAAAATTTTTCCTAGTATCCAATCTAAAGCTCCCCTGGTGCCACTTGAGGCCATTTCCTCTCATGCTATCGCTTGTTACTTGGGAGAAGAGACCAACACCCACCTCACTACGGCCTCCCTTCAGGCAGTTGTAGAGAGCGATAAGGTCTCTCCCCTCGGCCTCCTTTTCTCCAAGCTAAACAACCCCAGTTCCCTCAGCCGCTCCTCATAAGACTTGTGTTCCAGACCCCTCACCAGCTTCGTTGCCCTTGTCTGGACATGCTCCAGCATCTCAATGTCTTTCTCATAATGAGGGACCCAGAACTGAACACAGCATTCAAGGTGCAGCTTCACCATTGCAGAGTACAGGGGAACAATCACTTCCCTAGTCCTGCTGGCCACACTATTCCTGATACAAGCCAGGATGCTATTGGGCCTCTTGGCCACCTGGGCACACTGCCGGCTCACATTCTGCTGGCTGTTGACCAACACTTCCCAGGTCCTTTCCTGCCTGGCAGTTTTCCAGCCACTCTTCCCCAAGCCTGTAGCATTGCACAGGGTTGTTGTGACCTGGCACTTCGTATTGTTGAACCTCATACAATTGGCCTCAGCCCATCGACCCAGCCTGTCCAGATCCCTTTGTAGAGCCTTCAAGAGCCTCTGCCTCAAGGAGATCAACATTCCCAACTGGCTTGGTGTTGTCTGCAGACTTACTGAGGGTGCACCCAATCCCCTTATCCAGGTCATTGATAAAGATGTTAAACAGAACTAGCGTCAACACTGAGCCCCGGGGAACACCACTTGTGACTGGCCACCAACTGGATTCAACTCCATTCACCACAACTCTTTGGGCCCAGCCATCCATTTTTACCCAGTGAAGAGTACACCTGTCTAAGCCACGAGCAGCCAGTTTCTCCAGGAGAATGCTGTGGGCAACAGTGTCAAAGGCTTTACTAAAGTCTAGGTAGACAACATCCACTGCTTTTCCCTCATCCACTAAGTGGGTCACATTGTCAAAGAAGGAGATCAGGTTAGACCTGCCTTTCATAAACCCATGCTGATTGGGCCTGATCACCTGGTTGTCTTGGACGTGCTGTGTAATGGCACTCAAGATGATCTGTTCCATAACTTTCTCCAGCACTGAGGTCAGACTAACAGGCCTATAATTCCCCACATCCTCCTTGTTGATGGGCGTCACATTTTCTAACTTCCAGTCAACTGGGCCCTCCCTGGTTAGCCAGGACTGCTGATAAATGATGGACAGTGTCTTGGTGAGCACTTCTGCCAGCTCCCTCAGTACCTTTGGGTGGATCCCATCTGACCCTATAGACTTTTGTGTGTCTAAGTGGTGTAGCATGTCGCTAACCATTTCCCCTTGAATTTTGGGGGCTTTATTCTTCTCCCTATCCCTGTCTCCAGATCAGGGGATGGGGTATCTGGAGAACAACTGGTCTTACTATTAAAGACTGAGGCAAAGAAGGCATTAAGTACCTCAGCCTTTTCCTCATCTTTTGTCACTATGTTTCCCCCTGCATCCAATAAAGGATAGAGATTCTCCTTAGCCCTCCTTTTGTTGCAAAGGTATTTATAGAAACATTTTATTGTCTGATATGGCAGTAGCCACATTAAATTCTACTTAGGCTTTGGCCCTTCTAATTTTCTCCCTGCATAACTTCATGACATCTTTGTAGTCCTCCAGAGCTGCCTGCCCCTTCTTCCAAAGGTCATAAATTCTCTTTTTTTCCCCTTAGTTTCAGCCAAAGCTCTCTGTTCAGCCAGGCTGCGGCTCATATTTCAGCACATGGGGACAGCCCGCTCCTGCACCTTTAAGATTTCCTTCTTGAAGAATGGCCAGCCTTCCTGGACTCCTTTGCCCTTCAGGACTGCCTCCCAAGGGACTCTGTCAACCAGTGCCCGGAACAGGCCAAAGTCTGTCCTCTGGAAATCCACGGTAGCAGTTCTACTGACCCTGCTCTTTGCTTCTCTGAGAATCAAAACCATTTCCTGATTGCTATGCCCAAGATGGTCTCCGTCATTATGAGAAAGGCTTTGACACAGGCTAGCAACTTGTGTACCCAGGCCTCAAAAGGATTAAGATGGGTGATTTATGGCTTTGTATTGTTGCCAGAAACATGTAAAAATGCTAACTTTCATGCAGTAATCTTGTTCAGCGTACCAAGGACCTCAAGAGACAAAGTTCTAACAAGGCAAAACACACAAAACATATATAAAAGGGCTCACTGAGCATCTTTCCTGAAAGAAGTTTTATGGGTGCGCAGCACAAGTGATTGCTTTGCGAGGGGGAACCAAACAACAAAACCAGGCCATAGAAATACTTCTGCAACTTTGAGTGACTTTGAATTGCTTTGCAACCTTGGCTAAATGCACTTTGGTATCTTTGTATAGGATCGCTAACAAAAAAAGTGTTCATCACAGTTTTCACTTGTTCTTGAACTTCTGAGCTGGCAATGGCATATGAAGTGTGTGTTTTGTCTGACAACGCAGAAAGCAGTTATTAACTGCTGAAACACATTGCACATAAAACTACTTTCAATGTAACTTCTCAATCTCTTTTTACACATTCATTATTTGTGAGATGAACCATTATTTGGGAAATGAACCAAGGTACGTATTTTTGACTGAATGTAAAACAAAAAAAATGCTTCCCTCTTAGAAACATTTTTTCCAAATTTTTAGTGACTTTTTTTTTCAGATTTCTTTATGAAAGTATTCCAAGGTCTGAAGTAAACACTAAAAACGTATTCTTCATGTTTTCCTGTTGAACCGTAGACTAAATTCTAAAGGCATAGAAACTTAACTGAATTGAAAAGGGTTCACTTTCAACAAAAACACTGAAGTAGGACCTACCTCGAAAAATACATCCAAATTCATTATCATGGAGGATATCGGAAAATAATTGTTTGGTTAGCTGACAGATAGGACTAGTGGTAATGGAAAACTTAAGTTACTCAGGTAGCTTTGGAAAAGAGTATGATAGGGCACATCTTGTAAATGACTTTTTTATTCTAAAGGTGGCAAAAATTACCAGATACAATCATTGCAGGTTGAAAACTGTTGGAGAGTATTTGTGCGGAATGCAATTTAGGTGACACCTATCTTAATACGGTAGAATTTGTGATTCTGAGGAAAGGAAAAGTATGTGCAACATTGTAAGGACAATATATAAAAAAAAAAAAAAAAAAAGGATAGACCAAGAAGCTTAGGCAATTTTCTATCCTCTCTTGCAAAGACTCTGAGAGAGAAAGGCCCTTTTAAGGGGGCTGGCAATTAATAAAAGGTACTATAATGAAGGAGAGATGACAACCTATTTCTAATTAAGACAGACAAGAACCATACTAAGAGTTCAAAACTTCTGATTCAAGAGTTCTTTAAAAATTTGAAAGTCAGAATGAAGTTGTGCAAACAAGTGTAATAAAAGGACAAATTCCTAAGAGTAACTATATAGGAATAATACAAAACCAGACTGGGACAACTTATTAGAGGTTAAGATTGAAAAGGTTACCAGGTTACCATTAGCAAGGGACATATAAAAAAAAGACAAATATTCTGTAAATGCATTGGAAATAAAAAGTCGTAAAAACCAAAAATCCATTATTTAATTAGGGAGGAGGGCAAATGACACATTTGATGCTTTTTTTGTTGCAGACTTCATAAACAGTGATCGGATACTTAATTACATTAATTTTAATGAAGGAGTAGGACTGGAGGTCAGATTAGGTGAAAAACATCTCAAAGATACTGAAGAAGTTAGGTATTTTCAAAGTGGCTAAATGCAGGCACCTTATGAATTAGCAAAAGTTCTCTCTGAACCACTTACAAGTCATGGAGGTCCCAGAGGACTTCAGCAGGCATAGTAGAGGCTAATCTTTTAAAAAGGGGAAAAACTAAGAGAAATAAAGAACAGTGAGCTACATTTTAAAACCCAGAAAATAAGAAAACTGAAAAAAACAGGGGATGATAAGGTAATGAAAAGCAGCCAGCGTAGACTGGTCAAGAAAGAAATCAAACCAGGCTTGTTCCTCCCTGCTGCATGGATCCCTCCCTTTCCCATCCTTTGGTCCTTCCTCTGAACATTCCATAGAAACTTTCACACATTCCCACAGTCCTGTTATAAGCATTCCATAATAACCTTTAAACAATTCTGAACTGCCCTTCCCCCTGCATCCCACAGCGAGTCCCCTGTAGGGACTCCTTCACTCTGCAAGGAGTTCCGGGAGGGTTTCTTTGGGTTTCACACCAGGGACAATGGTCTAATCATTCTCCTTCGGTAGCCTTAGGAGCAGTCAAGTCCATGTCTTCCACTTTTCACTGATTGGGTTAACTAGGGTTCCTCTGCCTGTCACTATTCATCTGAACCTCACCAGGCTTTTGTATTTACCATGATTAATCACATTGGTTACCAATAACATGGTGTAATGACCCCCACCTGTGACTTGGGAGGTTCAAACTGGACATTTGGGAAAGCTTGTTCACCAGGAGTAGTGCACCTGCGAACAACTTTTGCAGATGGGTTGTGAAACCTCCAAGCTTGGATGTTGTTACTAATGGCTGGCCACAGCAAGGCTGAACTGAACTAGTGTTGGTGATAATCCTGCTCAAAGTGAGGTTGACCAGAGACCTCCAGACCAACCAACACTGGCACCATCAACTGTCTGGACTTCAGAGATAATAAACCTTGAAAGGAGCTAGCATTTCATGTTTGATCCAGATTTGGCATATTGCAAAATAAGATTCAAACTCAGAGCCATATTTTAAACACTACCTAGAGATTAGTCAGCTTTCAGGATAATTTCTAGTACAAAAAAGACATTGAGTAAATTCAGTAAGATGAAAATATTTTCCATCTCAAGGCACCTGTTTTACCTCAAGTGGCCAATCAAAAACAAAGAGCAAAAAATATTTGATAAGTACCTGCACAAATATTTGATTCAACAATTTTAGCTGATTATCAGCCCAAATATTTTTAACAAGCAATGTGCTGATCTTTGAGTCAATTAGCTATACTGTTTAGTTTAAAACATTGTAGCCTAGCCTTGTAACATAGGAGTCTAAAAATTATTTTCTCATCTGGGACAAGAAGCAGCCGGGAGCATTGTCATGGCAACCATCTCATTTCCAAAGAGAGATTCTGTGACTTCTGTTGCTCTCTAGCAACCTCACAGCTGAAGGAGCGTTGCTAAAAAAAAAACACAAGAAAAAGAGGGGTTTTTCATATAGAGAAATATACCCTCACAAGAAATGCTTGGAGGGATCATGAAAAGAGTGCTTCAGAACATAAGGCAGGCTTTAAATAAACACATTAAATTCTCAGTTTGATGATGAGCTCAGGGAAAAAACAAACCAAAAAACCAACCCCAAACCACATATATCCCGCCACACTAACGCACGTCTGTGTAGCTGACTGGAATCAATGTCTCCTGGAAATGATGGTTATCACAGATCTCGCCGTCTCACACTAACTGCATGAGTTAGTTTCTTGATCCTGCTGTTGTTTAAGGAAAATGGATAGCAATGTGAATAATACACAGGGGGCGGATAGGGTGGGAGCAGAAAAATTTCTGCCAAAACAAGACATTTCACTGCCCACAGCTGTCCCCAGGAGAGAGGTTGAGATCACATCACAAGACTTAGTCAGATTGCTCAATGACTACTGAGAGGTTTTAAGGAACTGTGGAGTTAAGAACCTATAGTCTAAGAACCTATACGGACTAGAAAACCTGTAATACTTCTTTAACACAGTGATTCTGAAACTTAACCTATAGAATTTAGCAATTAAGGGAAGGTCATGCACAGATCTCAGGGTTATGGTTTAAACTCTCATTTATTTACCCTCACTTCAGTTTGGTTAGCTTAATGACCTCTCCTGACTACCCAATTTTAAGCGTTCCTGGCTATGGCGTACTTCGGCCACAGATGATGATCACTCAGAGGAGACTACCTGGAAGTGCTACAGCAGTACAAGGCCATACACATGCAAAAAGTACATTCCTACAGCGTAGGCTAGGAGTTTTTCATCGTCTACTATCTGCAGCCATCATGTGGAATAGCCATAATGCTGTGTTCAACAGCCGAGACCAATACCCCTTGCGTTGGCTGGAGAGAGAATGCTAAACTTCCCTTCAGAAGTAACACTGTATAGCAGAGCAAGATCTTCAGATGCATTTACGTATTTTTCCACAGGTATTTATATAACCTGGCTGCACTGGTAATTGTGGTCTGTATTTTGCTCATAAAGGAGCTAACTGAAGCAAGTAAGCACTGCTAAAAATAGCAAACACAGCAGAGCCCATTTCATGGTTTGGACTTCTGTTGATAAACTATATTAATATTTTCAGTAACACATGTTGTTATTGCAGAAATACCCGCTTATTCGAATTCCTAACCTGGAACACATAAGAATTATTAGGCAGTAAAAGTATGCAAATACAAACTATATGTAAAGCATTAAAAATACACGAAGAGAGAGTAGGTAATGTGAGCACCATTTAAAGAAAAAACCCCAGCAAACAGTGCTTAAATCAAGTTAGAAATTCAAGTCTTCACAGCCATAATCACTTCTTACAAAAAAGCACTGTTGAGAAAGTGGAAGTTTACCTAGTTAGAAAAGGCTATCAACTTTGAACAACGTACCAAAGATTTAAAAAGGCTAAGAAGGTACTGCAAAGCTATGAAGGCACTTAATGAGCTTCCGAGGGCAAGTTTGGTCCATCATATATAAAAGGCGCATAAACAGCTACAGTGTATGGAGAAGAGCATGTGGATTAAATTTTCAATGTAAGATTGAAAGAGGCAGAATTCTTCAAGTGTGTTTCTTTCCTATGTGATACTAATGAAGTGGGCCGAAAGCAGCAAGTGACTTTCAGTGTTAGGCATTGGGATTTAAGTTGACATTTTGCATGAGGAGCTACCCAGGCCCTCTGGGCATTTTCTTCTCTTTTTTTTCCCCCAAAGAAAAAACTGTAAACAGTGCACTTTGTTAAACTCTTCTCTTTTCAGTGAACTGTGGCTGAATCTGTACAATCTTTCTGATACTCTCCTCTGGGTACACTTAAAGGGTTTGAAAAAAATTTTACAATAAAATAAGCCTCAAACATATTACAAAGAAAGCACACCAATTTGATCAGATCTTTCCAGGACAAATGACCTCTCCACCATTAACTAGCTACCCAGTGACAGAAATAATTGGTTGCTACCACTGGAACACTTGAAAGCACAAGTGATGTACACAATTATTTCTGCCAGCACCAGCTGAATAGATTTTGCTACAGCAATTTCAACAAGACCCTTGCAGTTTTCATAAAAACGAAAGGCAAATAGAAGTGAAAAAACTCTGTGTAAATACCATGTGAATAGAATTAGCAGGAAAACAAACCAAAACAAGAGAGGGAGTATCAACACTACAACTCATATCCAAAAATGAGAGGATTACAAGATACGGTTTCTCGAGGAATCTCTACCAGCTGGCCATAGATCTACTCGCCTTAACTTGTGGGGGACCCTTACAAAGCTACAGGTAGAAGTGTTATCTTTATGAAAGGACCATCTGGATCCTTTAGTCATATACCCAGTAACACCAGCACGGTTCAATTCTCATCACTTTTGGTAAGTAAGATGATGGATGCTGCTCTTAGTCCACACCAAGCCCGTCTTGTAGTAACTGCTCTACCTCTCATCTGAGCTCCTCCTCTTTGTAAGAGATAATGTTTAGCACTGCAAAAATACCACCTCATTAGGAGGCTTAATCTTGATCTCCAATTTCTTTAGACATTCTTTCCCCTCTGGGCGTTTTACTACCAGAGTAAAGAAATTAAATCTTTATTAATACAGCTTATACATCCACTTGCCAAACTGAAGCAATCTGAACCACATCTATGGACGGTTGAGAAAACAAACCAGTAGGAAAAGAAACACTCCTCCCCACTTCCCAAAATTAGTTCAAAGTCTCATTCTGTTCCGATCCCAGGAACGGGAGGTATTACTCCGAGCATTTAACTGGATTCTCCTTGCATCTGCATGCTAAACAGCAGTCCTGTGCCCTGCACACCAGACTATGAGCTTGGGTGTCCTATTCTCCATCCTGAACCACAAAGGGAAACGTCACACCTGTGCGCACCAGACAGCAAGATCCTTAAAGAATCCAGAGAGCTTCTGAGAAGAACATTCTAGTATTTCAAACAGAAAATATTCCTTTAAGAACTTTTTTACTTGCTCTGTTTTCAAATGAGTTTCACCACCTTTTATATTACTTTTTGACGTTTGTATTCAGCTTTAAAGATCAGTTCAAAATGCAGTTTTGGTCAAAAAATGCCATGAAAGGTTTTCTTTCTGTTGTATATTCACTACCATTTGCCCTTGACTGAATGACAGACTTTAATTGATTTTTATTCCTGTCAGCCATGCAGAACCAAATACATAATAAAAATGAGCTCAACTGTAATCTGTTTTTGTGTATCATCAATAAAAGAGCTAACTAGCTAAGTTCCACTTCCACAGAAAATTATATTGTCATTAAACCTTCAGAACCTTACTGGAAACAAAGTATTACACAAGGGTGACTGCCAGCATGATTAGAAGGAATAAACTCGTAATTGCAAAAGTAGACAGGTATTCCTGAAGAATCAATATTTATTATGACAGAGGACTCATAATCCTTTATGATTTTGAAACAACAAAAATAAAAAAAACCCCCACAACTATTTGTGACCTCAAGAAGCTTTCACTGGCTTAACCTGAAAATAGCCTAATACTTCATACTATTCCTACAGACAATTTTGTGACTAAAGGCTCCCTGCATGTTGTATTATTTTATGGTCTGAATCACCAGATTTTACACAGTATCAAGTTCAAAATAGCCATGAAGATCTAAGGTCCTGTCTTTACAGACACTGAAATGATGAAAGCAGTAATGTTTTTGAAATTCTATGTTTTTCACAATTGATGTTGCTTGCTTTTTGGCACTTAAAGTGCAATAATGTGTTTTGTATTTAGTTAGTCCTGACAGACTATCACGCAGAATGAACTCGACGCTAACAGTGAGGGAAAGGTGGCTTGCTTGGTGGCTGGATTACACCAGTTAGGGAAGAGCCTTAGACGGCTGCCCCATTTTTATGCAGTGACTGAGGAAAAGACTGATGATGAGCTTGATCTCTTCAATGACACTGCACTCTTACCCAGCTGGAAAGAAACCTGGGATCACTTTTTCTTCACTCACATGGGTAATAGGCAAAAACAGAAGTCTGTGATCTCCTAAAAACTGTGACTACAGTTATGACATACATACGAGTCATGAAGTGACCACACATCTTCATTTGCTCTTATAATCATTGTCCATATATGCTAGCACTACTGCCAATGTCACAGTCACCTAGAAGAGAATGTCTATAGAACATCATAAAAACATTTTTTGTCTACCTTTTTTTTTTTTTTTTCCCCAAATCTTAGTATTTGCGTGAAATCTGCCGTGAGAGAAATACTTAAAATTTCTTCAGTCTTTTTCACATCCTTACATTACCTTGGGGTGTTTTCTCCAAATTTTTTTCCTTTCAATCATCTATAGCTTCAAGTATCTTACTAAATGAAACACTGCCAGAGAACTTCGCTGTACCCAGGGATCTGCTAATTCATAGCATTAAGTTTGTGCAATAGTTGTCAATACACTTTCAGATATGCCAAATAACAGCACTCTTCCTCCACTCCCAGTAATTCCTGGATATGCTAGGGAAGTCAGCATGGGCAAGAAACAACTCCTGAGGCACAGTGTCTATGCGCTCTGTTTCAGAGAGGACAGCATGCACAGAAGTTGTCCCAGGCAAGCTGGCCTCAGTGCCAGCTCCCTGTTCAGTAAGTAGCCTTTGGAGATACAGATTGCAATTAAGCCTATTAAACAGGATCTTCCCAATGCCCTGTGCACCCCAGGTACTTCCTGTGCTCTTCCTGCCCAAGGATGTCCAAAATGTGCATGCAGCTGTTTTTAACCTTTCAACATACATGCTTCAGTAAATCTGCTTTTCCACTGATTCAAAGTTCAAAAGTTTAAGTTCTTTCTGTATTCCTTAGCCCATCGACAGTAGATGTAAAAACTTCTAATCTCCTTAATTTCAATAAATAAGCATAATGTCTTTCCATATATCTCCATATTTCATTGACATCAGAATGAAAACCATGCAGTGCCACTAAGGATTTACCATTATTTATATTTCCTATTGATTATTTTCCTAAAAGAAGTTGCGTTTCAAATGAAACAAAAAGGAACACAAATTCACTGCCTACTAACTACCAATAGCAGCAGGCTTAAGGTCAGACATGATGTCTTAAAAATGAAAAGTGAAATCCTTTTAGTACCTTAAGGTACTACTATCACTGTTAGCCTGTAAGAACACTTGTTTAAAACACTGAGGTGAGATATCTATGCATTAAATTTCTTCCTTACATGTGAAGAATGGAAGCATCTTTGATGAAGTAATTGATAAAATTATTTCAAACCATATTAAAGGCCTTCCAGACTGTCTTAAATGACTTGAAACAGACTTCAGCGAAGTATGTTTCCTCTCCCTTCTACACCGCCTGTTGTAAACTCAGAGTTGCCCACTCATTCAGAACATGGCTAAATGAGCTCTTAGGCTACAAATCCTTAAGATGCAGTGAGCTCATTGTATTAATCGCACTCACTGCCAGAAAGAGGGCTCCTGCTTCTGACTGCATGCCTCTGGTGGTTACTTTCTGCTGGCTCTGGTATTTCTTTGATCCTTCAGTGAGCCGATTTAACTCTCTAAAACATAACAGTAATCCAGCAGAAAGATGGACAAATTTCTCTTGTTAAGTCAACCAATGCCAAAACCTAAGAAGTAGCAGAACTCGTAGGCAGAAGGCAGCAGGATTACCCAGTCCAAGATGAAGGAGAAAGTCTTCCTCCTTTTGGCAACGAGGAAATCAGCTTGTCTATAGTCCAAGCAGATTCTGTACATCCTTAATTTCTGTGCTGAGGCATCAGCTGCTTCAACTTACCGTCTGCCTTCTGTTATCTCAAGTAGCCTCACTCAAAGGCAGCTATGTTTTTTTGGGAAAATGAAAATGTCAGACCTAACACAGAAGAAAGACTACTAAAATCTGTAAATAAGGACACGGAATTAAAACTGAAATATACCAAACATTTACTCTCTGCAGAGAGACAACCTTGCATCATACAACTAACTGCAATAGGAAAGCTATCAAATAAGCTTTGCCTACTGTCATTTATGATACCCCAAGACCACATTACAACTTTAAGTGACCAAGGCACTCTGGCTAGAACCTCTTTTCTCACCTGACACAGATTCCTGCTCTAAATTTAAAAAAAAAAAAAAAATAAAAAAATGTTGGTACCATTATAACTAGCATAATTCAGCAGCAGACCAATATATTTCTACAAATCACTTTTATCACAAAGGTGTCTTAAAAGGAGAGGAATAATGCACATGATGGAGGGAACAACATTAGGTAACAAGATTTTTGGGCTTGGATTGCTCAGATAACAGGTTTCTGGGGGTGGGGCAGAGTTTTCTGTTGAGGAAGGCAGGGGAGTGGTACACTGCATCTGATCCTGATGCACAAAGAAAATGCCTGGACCTTGATGTATCAGTTCTAAGAAAAATAGAAGTATTGAATATTCCATATGCTTCTTCCAAAGTTTTATTAGGACCCTTACAATTCCTGTCAATTTTTTTACTCTGAACTCTTAACAAAGACTTTCATCTTTTCATGGCCTGAATTCTCCATTCTCCCTTAGAGACAGATCAAGACTGTGAACATACACAATGAAAGAAGGCAGAAGTATTGCTGTTCTTACCTTTGTAACAAGGAAAAATGCATCAGTATGATTAATTACTGAACAAACTGTGATTAAAACAAGTTAATGCAATTTAATTGTCATTCCAATTACTGTTAAACAAAAGTAACTCGTGGCTTGTACTTTCGGGGACAGCATGGTAACAAAGATAATTGCTCCATCTTCAAAGAACTGCTCCCTGTTTTTCTTATGAGTTTTCCAGTGAGATGCTGCTGAAAGAGGAGGTTTGGGTTTTTTTTTACAAAGGCAACATGATAATCATTTCAGTAAATCCTTCCAGCAAGAATACCCAAATGCCCTCTTATCTCTTCTATTGGATATATTTTACTTAATATACAAAACAAAACGACCATTCAAGCAAAACACAAACGAGACCAAAATTGTGCAGCTTACTTTGCAAAGACTGAAATCTTTCATTGTCCAAAAAACACTGGCTTATGTCTTCTCCAATATCTTAAATGTTTACTTAGTCCTATGAACGAGTACTTATTCTTTTGCAGCTTTTATGTTTCACAGCATACTTCTAATTATGTGTTCTAAGACAATTTACAGCCTTCCTGAGTGTTTGGCAGAACAAATAAATGCATTAGAATTGATTTTGCTTCAGGTGTACTTTAGGTGAATGTCAAATACCATTTTTGGTATCAGTTATACATTGCCCATACTGCATGGATACTGCTACCTAGAAGAAGCTAGCAATTGTAAAAATGGAAAAGAACAGCATTTATGCTTAAAAAAATGATTTACAGACAGTTACTAATGGGGTTTGACAGGTATTGCTGTCATTTTAATTTGCAAATGTTCACCTAGTGGAAAACAATCAATTTTTTCAACTTCTCTCTGAAGTTACTGGGTAGCTTGAAAAGATATTGCAGTACAGACACAAAGGCATGCTCAAAGAACAAAGTTTTGCCAGTGACTTAGCATACCTAGATATAGCCATATACTTTGGAACATAATTTAAAAGATGAGTGGGGTTTACCTTCCTACAATACTTCTAGTTTTTTTCTTTCCTTTTTAAAATTTTGTTCTGTGTTTGCCCTCAAATCATACCACTGATAAGATGAATGCACAGCACACAGAAAAGAGTAAGAACCAGAACTGATACATGTGATTTAGAAAGGGAAGATCCTGGATAAACTTTCATCATGTTATATAAATACTTTGCATTCAAAATTAACTTGACAGAGTCTTAAAAGACTTTCTGATGCAGGATGCTTTGCTTTTTCTCCCCTCAAAGAGTTTTTAGCAAAAAGTAGATCAGAATGAAACTGGGCCATAAAAAGTGGGAAGTCCTTGAACTAAAGTGTACAGGCAGCAAACAATGTAAAATAAAATGATTTTATATGTAACATATATGACAAGCTGATACAGCAAATGAATTACTTACTCAGTAAACCCACGACTCAATTTTGAAAGGATTTGTTCATTTCAAAACCCAACGGCAAGTATAAAACATTAAAGCCATCTTAAGACTGAACTCCAGTTCTATTATCTCTGAATTTTTTCATACAGTCTTATTAAGACATTCATTACTGTTTAGCACATCATATAATTTATCATAATTCTCTACAGAACAATATAGTTAATTCAGCATCATCAATAACTTTATACAGTATTGAAGCCATGTCCTCTTTTGCTTACTGTCAAGTACAAAACAGCTTATATAGACTAAAAAAAGCTACACACCACAGTTGTAGCATACCGTATTTTGTGCCTGATTAAAGTTTACAGTAGTGGCTTTTTGATCTTTCAAGACAAATAAACATGATACCGCAAAACAAACAGTTGTGCAAACTCAGGCTTAGGAGGAAGACTTAACTACCTCCTTTTTCCAGAACTACTTTTCCCTGCTTTACTGCTGCTACTACCAGACTTGCTGGAAGATTTTGAAGAGAAAAGTCTTGTCATGAATTCAGAGACATCCGGCAGCTCATGGTTGGAATTCAGCATGTTCATTGACTGCTCCATTTCCTGCATGCAAAGATTAGATAACCTTAATAGCTTGTAACAATTCTGACTGTTTCTAAGGCATGAGTTGAAAGATAGTATCAGGAGGATGTCAAATTTTCCCAAATACTGTTTTACTATTTGTAGTCCTCCAAGGTACATATTGCTCCATACTTTTATGCAACCACAGCCAAATGCCCAGCTACACACGGAAACATAAAACCCCAAAACTAAAAGCACTGGTGTATGGAAAAAGGTAACCACGTCTTGAGCAGTCTTACAGGGCAACCATCTGATTAAAAAATTCTAGCAGAAGAACAATCATTGCTTATTTTCAGCATTACTTTCTTCCATTTTAAAATTCAAGCTTTTGAGATTTTCACATCTGTGTTCTCATAGATTTCACATATTTTTGTGTTTTCAAATTAGTATTTTTTATGCTAAATCTAACAAATTTTTGGAACTGTTAGATTAGATATTAGATATTTTTATTTCCCTGCTTTGTAACATCAAGCTATTAGTGTACAGCAGCTAAGTTTTCTTTGTTTCATGAATGGAAGGATTTTAATATGAGACCATATATCCAGCTAAGCTTAATGTAACTTTAGAGTTTAGCATAGTGGCTCTATGAGATTAATTAGTACCGTTTAAAACAAACAAACCCTGAAGTACTTTTAATGCACACAACAGCTGAACTGCACATCCACAATGTGATAATGCTTATAGTAACTGCCAATTTAATGTGGGATTGTCGCCTTGCTCTTTTTAGTTACCATTCAGAATGATACAGCTTTAACTGTTTTCAAGGTACAAACGAAGCAAAAGCTGTTATGGTAGCCTTTGTTACTATTGCATCTATACTACATCTGTACTTAATGCCTCTACCACAAGCACAGTTACTAAATCATTAACTTTCTATATAAACTAATATTGTGCTGATTCCATAAAGAAAGAACAAGCCAGCTTGAAAAATGTAATACAAGCTCCATACCCTCCACAGGCAAACTGAAGTTAGAGATACACTTAAGAATTTCATACATGGTCATCTAGAGAATGCCATTACAATTGAGTTATCAAAAAACTACCTTCTATTCTTTAAAGATAATTTAAATTACAAGCAAGATTCCTTCAACTTAAAATTTTCTCCTTAACAAGTCGTATCAGTCAGCTAGTAAGAACTAAATCATCAGAAGTCCTGATGCTTTACCATCAGAACAGCCTGTCTCTAAGCAGTGTCAGATCAGTGAAAAAAGGAGTGATTTTTTTAAAATTCAACTTCTGAAGTTCAGCTTGGTTTGAAGAACATGCCATGGATATCTAACACATCTTTGTATCCTGTTTTTAAACAACAGTAGAGCCAAAAGAGCATTACACAGCTCTGATATGCTTTTTATAGGTATTACTTTAAAAAAAAAAAAACAAACCAAACAAAAAAACCAACTCGGACACCTATAAAGTACTACTGAAGACAGTGGTCATTTAGAAGAAAAGGAGTTTAAATCAACCAAACCCTCAAAAAGCAGCCACCCAAGACAGACAAGGAATACTTCTAGAAATAAGAAAAGATTTAGCAAACACCTTGAATCTCCATTTTGTCCTAGCCTTCTGCTATTCGGCATTTTGCATGATGAAAGGACAATAAATCAGATAATTGAATGACTACATTAAGACTCCATATCATATACACTATTGTGACATCTGGATTTAACAGGCTTGTAAACTATGTCGTTTAGGTTGATAGGTAAGAGAACCCCACATCATACTCTTCTCAACACACTTGACACTTATTACATGTCTAAAAATGAAGTACTAGATTTAAACATAGTGCAGAAATACACTGGAAATTTATAGAAAAAATAGCCTTTGAGAAATTATATTTATTGCTCTAATGAAACTCTGGAAAACACCATGTATACTGCAATACTTTCAAAGCTGTTGTAAACAATTTAATTCTGTGTTGTGCTGCTTAACAGCAAACTCATGACTCTAAAATGTTAGAATTCATTGTTAGAACAGCAACACTGTATTAACTGAATAAATTATGCCTATTAACACTTCTTTAAAAGTCCAGGTTTTATTACTTTTCTGTACTTTAAAATCTCAGTATCTTTGTTCTCTATGCCTGCACCAACTGAACATACTTACCCGTCTCATATCAGGATCACTGGTGTTGACAACTTTAGGCAAAAGCACAAATATCAGTAATGGAAGAACCATCATCATCACCTACACAGAAAACAGCAAGTATTTCTTCAGCTTATTTGTTGCTCCAGACATTTTTAGACATACCAACATAAAGCTTTTAGCTAAAGAGCCAAATTCTAGAACTACTGCATTCTGTAACCCAGTAATAGTAATCCTCTTGTCAGGAAAGAATCTTGGTAAGGAAGCATTATGTTTTAAATAACAGATTTCAAAGCTGGAACACTAAAGTAAAGGTTTGTTATCTCTTTCAACCGTTACAATTACAATCTCGCAACATGGTGATCTCCACGCTACTAGAACATCATGTTGTCAAAGGAACCAGACTATAGGCTATTCTCAGAGGACATACATTGACAGAGTGGGTACATAGTACAAAACTATCTGTAAACAAGTAAAAAACAAAATACAAGGAAATACAACAATCCTCTCAAAAGAGCAAAGTGTGCGCATCTTTTCTTGATTATTTTATTGTCAGTATTCTGAAGAATAGCTATATTTGGATCCTTAGTATACTTTTAACCTTTGTGTTGCTTGTACATACCATAGGGTTCATGAGGAAATCTGTCCATCCCCAAGATTCTCTCTTTATAAAGTATGAAGGAGGTCCAGAAGATTTCATCTGGAGTGGGTATGGCAGCCTCACAACTTCAGAGGTTTTGATGTAATTCACGTATCTTGCTCTAATGAGCAAAATGCAAATAATTAAAAATATAATCTTTAAGAAAAGATTACTAATACTCCAAACAAAGTTTTAATAATAGACTACAAACAAAGCTGTCTGCTAGGCAGTGTCAGCTAGGCTTCACTTTTCAGAAGCTAATTTCTCTCAGCAGCATACTTTATGGAATCAAACGATACCTTACCTTTTTTCCAGGCAAACTATTAAGCAGGCTGAAAAACATGATATGGAAAACAGACCTGCAGATCAGAACATCAGGACTATTTGTTTGAACATGACTTCTGCAAAACATTTTTTCTCACCTTGGTAATGAGCAAGAAAAGCTACAATGTTTGCAGACAGAAATCATTTAATCCTTCTGAATTTTTTGCCAAATATTCATCCATGGAATGTCTTCCCCTCCTACGACTACGTTATTTTCTTCAAAAACTTTTGAGGTTTTCAAGTAGATCTTATCAAACATATCCATTACCCACATGCTGTTTCCTCTTTCTAAGAATTCCAGTATTTTTTTTTTAAAGGCAGAACTTCCCTTAGAAAAGCTCATTTGACATCTTCCCTGTGTATCACATTTTTCATGCATCTCCCAACTGTATTCCTCATTATACTTTCTACCCGTTTGACTCATAGAGATGTCAAGCCTACTTGTACTTTGCTCTGCAGACATATCCTAGCAATTTACTTAAGGTCAAATTTGTTACCTCTACTCCTCAGATAGCAAAACAGTGCTTAGTGAGATTGTACACACTATTGTGTCTATTTCAGTGAGTTGCTTCTGTGTTTATTACAGATTAAATGTGGCCAATGAGATACTGCCCAACAAAGTATAAAAATAAAAATTCCATGAAGTCTGGAGAAAAAACTAAGCACAAATTGTGCTATTACTATTATTATAAACAGACTGATTGCACTGTTTTCAGTTTGAGATTTCAATTTTTAACCTCCTCTATAATACTGCTGCAGTGTTTATGTTTGTACTCCCCAAATGTTACAGTATCTCACAAAAGATGCCGTTAAAGACAAACTTGAAGTTAAGATACTATATGTGTGCCTACACAAAGAAAATTAACTACATATATGTTCATTTAAATGAAAATTACCTTATTAGATATCCATTCTTCTGTATTACTTACTGAGTAGTGTGCAGCTACAGATGTACAGTTATAGTTGTTAGGGATAACGTATCTGGCCTTAACATAAAAAAAAGCTAACGATGGTACAGAAATACTGCAGGCTGGCAACTACTAGCATTTGCCAGTAACTGTAAAGAGTATCTTATGGAGGTGTAACAGAAATATTTTAGAATTCAGAATTAGAATGAATTATAATTTCATTGTGCCAAGTTTTGACAGAACATCTACCAAAACAGAAAGAAAAAGGAAGAAGGAAAAAAAAAAAGGTATTGGCAAAGGATAAACCAGTTAACCGATTTATGTCTGGATTTTATTCCAGGACAGCTGCATAAGAAAATTACAAAAGTAAACAAATAGGAGTCTTTTTATCTACTTCCTCTTATTTAAAGCCATAAATATGAAAGGAAGAAAGAAATCAGACTTTGGGTTTTAAGAAATATGCTCCCAGAAGTGATGTTAAATGGAGCTGAAACATATGGTCTGAAATGGAACATCAGATCTACGGTACTGTTTACGTTACTCCTTATACTGTGCTGTCAGGCATACTTAATAGATCAATGCAGAAGCAAATCAGGAAAGGCTCACCTCATTTTGCCTTTTGAAGTTATGTCAACTCGCACAGGCTCAAATTTATGAGCAGGGGATATAACTTCCACTACATAAGATCCTGAAGGTACATCATGAACCACAAAACTTCCATCTGTCCTGAAAAAACAGTAAGTTCCACTATATTTCAATATGCTCCAACACACAAGAGAGGGTGCTTTATTTTTTTAAAGAAGAAACTGTAATAGCATCATTTTATATAACAATGACCAAAAGGAAAATTTACATTGCTCAGCATTCATAATACCAAGACCCTTAAGGTCATCAATTCGTGCCACAACAGCAGCAGAAATTACCAGTTACGTTAAAGACTTTCTTGAGCCCTCAAGCTACTGTCTTTCTGGAGGAATAATTTAACAGCCTAAGTAAAATTTGAAATGGTTAGATTTCATGTATTCAAATGACGGCAGAATAGACTTAGACCTTCCTTCCTCCTTCTGAAATACATACAATGAAGTTTACTTTGCTTCAGTACTTCTGCTGGAAGCAAAAAAACCAAAAAACTGACATCCTACAGAGTGTGGGCAGATATTAGAGATGACTTGCAATGCACAAAAATTGCAGTTTGTGCCTTTATTGCAAGATAGAGGTTTTTACTTTTAATTGCTCCCTTTAGGACTAGCCCACGCTGGAAAGCTCTATCACAACAATAAGGAAACTAAGAGCTCTGAACATGTACACAGAAGGGACTTTTAGACAGACTGCTTTTATTTTAAAATATGAAACTTCAATATTCAGTGAAAATAGTAGGAAAAGGATACTTGAAAGCTTCAGCACCAGTTGCCATTAAATTACAGAAGCTTGTAGTTTTCCTCCTACATGCTTCCAGAAGTTTCCAGGAAGAAAAACTTAAGTGTTCTCTACCCTTTTAAAAATTAACATAAGAGATCTCTCCTAAAAATAAGACTGAAAATCGAGACAAAAAAAGTTGTTCAAAGCGGGAAAAGAAGTAACAAACCCTGACGCATTAGAAACTTGCATCAGGAAAACAAATAAATGAACCCTGTTAAAAGTGAACCCTCACAAAGAATTTTGTCCTTATGTCCTTCACACAAGTTTTCTCTCTCAAAGACGTACATCACTTAAGGACCTTCCTACCACAAAGACAGAAGCATATAAACAGTTCTGTGTAGGTGGGTTTCACTAATACTTTGTGTGATGATTTGAACCCCTAAGAATGCTTACAGCATCTTGTATTGCAACTGCTATAAGGATGCTTTCCTAAGAATTTCCTTTTAATTTTTCATTCTTTACATTATTATTTTGATAAAATTCAATTACGTATTTTTTCTAAAGATTTATTTATATGACAAAGCAAATTCTCTCTTCACATATAGGTATCCAATGCTGCCTTTTTAGAATAAAAAAAGTTTCATTTTTATTACAGTGGGGAAACTAATCAGATTTCTATAAATGCTTGTACTAGAGAATGACTCCTGAAATACTCAAAAAGCAACTTTGCTATGTCAAATATTTTCCTCTCTTTGATAACCGGAATGACATCCATGTAATATATAATCAAAACCTGCCTAAGAGATGGTGACACATATATCTTCTGATGTAACAAATGCATTTAAATCTGTCACTGAAAGTGAAGGATCTTTCTACTGAGCCTGAAATACCACTGTTATTTAAGAAAACTGTTCTTTCTTTGAACACAGTTCTTACTAAAAGTATACTGCCATCCAGTACTGTGCTCGTTACAAGTGACAAAAAAATCCCAACTGCCATTAAAGCATTTTTGCCAAAATGTGCCATGCTTATGGTAGCATAACATCTACAAATATGTTTATCAACCTGCAGAGCATATTAATTGCTTGGATTTAAGTGATATCAATATAATTTGATACATCTATAAATAGACATATCAAATTAATGTAATCAATAGAGTTTGACATCTAGGTTACACTGCCATAAATATGGTACGTTCTTAGCTAAGAGTATTTCCTCATATTTCAGAGAACTCGAGTTCCAAGCAAGCATTTGGAAACCTACCAACTCCATGGTACTTATTAAATCAACTCTTAAATATGATGTCAGGCTCCCACAACTTGGTTGTACTGGCTTATCAGGTGCTACACTGACAAGATTCTGCAAGATTCGCAGAGTAAAATCTGTTGTGATAGCCTACCAACAGTTCCCAAAGTCAAAGTTCAGTTCAACTCTTACTGCAGAGGGAATAATTAAAAACGATTGGTATTTATGAGACAGTGTATCTTAATTCCATATAAATGTTCTCATTTTAATACATATTTTTAAAAGCAATGTATTATGCTGTATTAAAAGTAATAAAAAGGATTTTAGAATTAGCTTCTACTGTTCAAAATATAAGATTAGTTAGTTCATAACTCTGAGGACATTTTCTGTGTCTTTGTATCTCTAGATTCTTTGCTGATCTGAATATACCTGCTACCGCCTGAGACTGAATAAGCTAACGTGATTCTTCACAACTTACAAATACATTTGCATGATGTTGTGTGAAGGAATAAAGCTGCATCCCTTGAAATGGCTTTCACTGGTGCAGTGAAACAGTTTTTCGCAGGTACTGTAGTAGACAAACACAGCTGTAACTTTCTGTCACAAACATTTCTCCAGAATGGATGAATTCTGAGCTAAGGAGGTGTTAAAAACGTAGCTTTTAACTTATGAAGGACATAAGGACAGAATTTGAGCCCACAAAAGCTTAGAACAAACGCTGTACTCTAGAATCTAATGCGGACGTGTTTGTTTGTCCGGGTTTTTTTATTAAAACTCTGTTCCAATTTTTTGATCGCTAAAAAACCAGCAGCCTTAGTCATCAACTTGGTTATGGCTGCTGAGACGCAGGAGGCCGAGA